GATGGTTTTGCCTCCTCTGGCAAATCCCCCTTAGCCCTTCTATCATTATGGAGGACATGGCGTTTCGTCCTCTTTGCCATTATTCATTTTTGTGACTTTGAGTTATCTTGGGAATTTGGTTAAACCTAAAGGGAGGTCCATCTGGTCCAAGAGATCTCTCTGGGAAGCCTAAGAGCAGGACATGAGCACAATAGCCCTCTCCCAACATATGGTGTTTAGAGGCACACACTTCCTGTGATGAGTAGTCATTGAGAACCTCATCCTCCATGAATCTGTGTGCTGGCTGGGTTGAGGAGAGTTGTAGCCCAAAAGATCTGAAAGTGACATAAAGGTAAAGGACCCCTGACAGTTAAGTCCAGTTGCGAATGACTCTGGGGTTGCGGCGCTCATCTCGCTTAACATGCCGAGGGAGTTGGCGTCTATCTGCTCCACAGGCAGTTTTTCCAGGTCAGGTGGCCATGACTAAGCCACTTCTGGTGCAGTGGAACACCGACACCAGAGCAGCACACAGAAACGCTGTTTACCTTCCTACCAGAGCAGTACCTATTAATCTACTTGCACTTTTTGGCGTGCTTTTGAACTGCTAGGTTGGCAGGAGCTGGGACCCAGCAACTGGAGCTCACCCCGTTGCGGGGATTTGAACCGCCGACCTTTTGATCGGCAAGCCCAAGGCTCAGTGGTTCAGACCACAGCTCCACCCACATCCCATCTATTAAAAGAAATAAGGTAACATATATTAAAAGAAAGAAGATAGTATATACAGTGGTGCCCTGCAAGACGAATGCATCGCAAGACGAAAAACTCGCTAGACGAAAGGGTTTTCCGTTTTTTGAGTCGTTCCGCAAGACGAATTTCCCTATGGGCTTGCTTCGCAAGATGAAATGTCTTGCAAGTTCTTGCGAGTTTGTTTCCTTTTTCTTAAAGCCGCTAAGCCATTAATAGCCGCTAATAGCCGTGCTTCGCAAGACGAAAAAAACCGCAAGACGAAGAGACTCGCGGAACGGATTAATTTCTTCTTGCGAGGCACCACTGTATTTAGTTTGTAATGGAACCCACTTCATGCACTTTCTACTCTGTCTTCTCAGTCCCACCCCCATAAAGGAATCGTCTGATTCTGAGCTTGTGGAAAGTGTCATGTCAGATAATAATTTGGGATGGACTTGTGGTATGAATCCAAAGCCTGCTTTTGCTTAAATGCTGAAGAAGTTTCTGGGGACTTACTGGTGCATATTTAAAGATCTATTGAGTCAGCCTGGTCAAAAGGTCCGGTGTGCATCCCATACCTACATCTCTGGGAATCGGAAATACACAAGTTGGAACTGCAGCACAATGTTCAAAGGGCATCCCTACACCCTAAGTAGCACTACTAAGGCTTACAAACAGACTTAAGAACAGTATGCTTGGGAAACATTTGTTTGCTATGCACTTCTACAGCATTCAAGCAGGGTTTCCCCTCCTAATAATGAAAATTTTGGCACAATTCTATGTACATGTCACACAACATTTTTATAGCAGTATAGGCGGTTCTTTCTCATAACTTTTGGTATTTGGTCCTTTCCATTTTCTTACTCACACTTCTGAGTCGCTTATGGCCAGAAATGTCATTTCGCTGCCCTCCATTTCTCTTTCTTTTTCTGTGTTTACATTTTTCAGATCGCAGATAGTGCAGTTGGAAACTTCACCAGTGCAGCTTCCAGCTCCACTCCTTCCAGCAAGTTGTTGCCTCAGGGGGAACTTGGCAAAGCCAAGGCCGGCATAGAGGTGCCTCCTGCTGAACCAACATCTCAAGCAACCTCGGCGCCGCCACCAGCACTATCTGTAGGTGAGAAATGGTGGCATCTGAGCAACGTCTAGAAATCAGCTGCAGGGGTACATCATGTAGCAGGTCACTACTTTTAGTAGTCATTGGTGAACAGCTGTCCTCTTTTTAGGCAGATAGCCACTGATGTTCATTTGAACTGAATATGAAACAATCCAAATAGCTAGGTTGCTCAGGTGCTCCGTCTAGTTTCTTTCATTCATTCAAAACAGAATGCCTGTCATTAGGCTAGGCAGAAGGAACGCCCATATACTGCATGGAACAGAGGGTCCAAAACCTTTTGAGACAGTGTCCCTTTGGTTCCACAAACTCATCCCTAGAAATAATAATAATAATAATAATAATAATAATTTTTTATTTATACCCCGCCCTCCCCAGCCAAGGCCGGGCTCAGAGCGGCTTGCAAGCAATAATAAAAACAAGATGGATGATTACAACTTAAAAACAAAAATAAAATACAACATTAAAATAACGAAACATTAAAATATTAAAATGTAGCCTCATCGCAGGAGGAGAAGGAAAAGAAAAAAGAAAGAGAGGGAGGGAGGGAATCAAATTGGCTCCAAGCCAAAGGCCAGGCGGAACAACTCTGTCTTCCAGGCCCTGCGGAAAGAAATCAGATCCTGCAGGGCCCTGGTCTCGTGAGGCAGAGCGTTCCACCAGGCCGGAGCCAGAGTTGAAAAGGCCCTGGCTCTGGTTGAATCCAATCTAACTTCCTTAGGGCCTGGGACCACTAGGGTGTTGTTATTTATGGACCTTGAGGCTCTCCGTGGGGCATACCAGGAGAGGCGGTCCCGTAGGTACGAGGGTCCTAGGCCGTGAAGGGCTTTAAAGGTCAAAAGCAGCACCTTAAATCTGACCCTGTACTCCACCGGGAGCCAGTGCAGCTTGAAAAGCACTGGGTGAATATGCTCCCATGGCAAAGACCCCGTGAGGAGCCTCGCTGCAGCATTCTGTACCCGCTGGAGTTTCTGGGACAGCTTCAAGGGCAGCCCCGCGTAGAGCGAATTACAGTAGTCAAGCCTGGAGATGACTGTCGCATGGATCACTGTGTCCAGTATAGTGATAGTGTCCTATACCTTATACCTAAGGAAGATGACACAGTAGAATGCAAAACAGCAACAATTGCACATTTACTCAAAATCCAATTAAAACTCAATGACCTTGATCCAGTGATACAGACTTTTCAAAGTGATAGTCATTTACACTTCCAGCCCCCCCCCCCCCGGTAATCCCTTCCAGGGGATAGTATAGCCAGATCTGGGAACCACTGCCATAAACCAAAAAGGAATTCTATGTGAAGTTTCTGCATTGACACATGGGGCTGCTTAGGAGCCAGGGAGCTGGTTTCCTCCCATTTTAAAGTGCTTCTCAAATTTATCTTGCCTGCATTGTCTGAAACATCAGCAGCTTTACTGGCAGTTTTTTCCACCACTTACATTTCTAGGTACCCTCTCAGTACCTAGAAAATAACCTTCTAGAGTCTGCAAAAGCAAATTAGATTTTTATGTGAATCCCTAGTATTTACAATCTACTCTTTGCCCAAGGCACAATATTAGAAAGGTGGGAAATTATATGGGAGAGAATGCTGCCACTTTCATGTTTACCCAGCCCATTGTACCATTTGGGGGTTCCCCTGAATGTTATTGAGAATACTGTCTTCTAAAAATTATCAGAAGCGTCTGCATGTTGCTAGAGAGCATAGTGGCCTTGGCTGTCTCACTGATTTGAATGTCACTGGCTGTGGTCAGTCTGAGATTGAGTGCAACAGGATAGAGTGATAATGGATCTCTCCTGAAATTGTGTCTGTTCAGGTGGTGCCTGGTAAATGACACCCTGGTGCTTGATTGTAGAGATGTTTAATTACCTGGGCACCAACTGAGACTCCTTTCTTGTCCCTCTTCCTGCATAGTAACCACCACAAGCCCCATGAAGACGCTGTATGTGATGTCAGATGCCAAACTGTCTGCCCTCACAAAATCTGTCATGGCAGAGGCCGCTTCCGTCTCTGTGAAGCCCACAGCAGTCCAAACTGCCGTTGCTTCCTCCAGCTCCTCCTCAGCCCCCATGGGAGCTGTGACCTTCGCCACCTCCGCCCCAGCTAGCACACCCTGCAGCCTTGTGCATTCCAAAGTGGGACCTGTGTTGCAGACGACATCCAAGACGGTGATACTGACTTCTACACTAACAGCCATGAAGGGTGACCGAGCCCTAGGACAGAGGGTGGAGAAGGTTAATCTGACCAAAGGTCATGCGCTTGGGACTGTGGAGACCCTGGGCAGGGTGCCTTCTGTCATGGACGACAGCAGTACCATCATCCACACCAGGGAGAGTCTTGCAAACAGACACTTGCTTCCACAAGGCATGTTGTCCGCTGGAGCCGGCACCACACTTATCACATTGGGCAATAACTTGACCAGCTCTTCCATCATAGCCACAGCTGGGCCTGCTCTCAGCCAGAAGCCATAGCAAGGAGGCAGCACGCCAGTGTACCATGGAACTGTTTGGTCTCTGCAACGGAAGCAGGAGTATTGCTCTCTCATTCCTGTCCTCTATGACAAGAGGACCCTTCATCTGTTTTCTTCCTTTGTCACTTTTAATAAACCTATCTTTTTGTGTACATAACTTTCTTTAATCATTGACTTCATTGCCTTCTACGAAGGGAGAAATGTTCAAATCTTCACAAGCGCTGAATGTAGATTGCTGGGTGTTTCTAGGTAGGTTTCTTAGAGCATTGCTTACCAAAACATTTTGCAGATAGTGAAATGTTTTTTACCTCCCTTGTATGGGGAGCGAAACATTTTGCCTAACTGGAGATCCCTTACAGGCAGCAATTGTATTAAGAATATCAGTTCTTGATTCCTGCCCCAAGCTATTAAGTTCTAAAGGGGGGGGGGCAATCTTCCATGAGGCTATGCTGCCAGGACTCTCTCCAGACAGAATGGCTTTAGTGATTATGCATGGCTGAGTGGGATACCTAAAAGCAGCAGTATTGTCACGCCTTGCTGATGATTCCCACCTCCATAATGCTCAAGTACAAAAAGCAGCATCTGAATTTAACAGATTTGTGCACTCAATCCCTTTTCTGCTGCAGAACTACCTAGTTGTGTCAAAGAAAGACCTACATTAAAGAACAAGACAGGCCCACAACAGTAAAACAATGTGTGCACAGAGCCTCTACTACAAATAGGTGCTTTTTATTCATCTTCCACAATTAGAAATGTGACATTAAACATTCTGTGGAGCTTCCTTTTCTGCAGGGGAGGGAGTCCTTGGATGTGTTCCCCCTTCCACTTGTTCCACTAGCCAGGCCTATGCAAAATAAGTTACCCTCCCCACTGCAGGAAAATATCTTTTGCCAGTCTGTTCACTGACACCTCATTTGTCCGAGGATGGACAGTAGCAGCAGAAAGGCTTGGATGTGGGACTAACTTGGCAAACGAGCTCAGGGATTTGCAACCCCACTTCTGAAAACATAAGTAGAGGTATCCCTGGTTTCGGACTCAACAAGGCAATATGCTAGTGAGCCAGGTTCAAGGTTCTTCTGTTGATATGCAAAGGCCTGGCAAGTTAATGATATAAAGTATAATTTATTATCCATCTGGGGTAAAATGAGCCATCTTGAAGCTAGACAAAGCCATTCTGAAGAAAACAAACAGACGGAGGCTGGCACAATTAAATCATACAAACGCTACGAACATTTCTGCCCCCAAACAGCAACCAAAGCCTTTAAATGATTTCTTTTAATGGAATGAAAAATGAGAGCTGGAATTCCTGATACAAGTGCAAACTAGCTTCCGTAACTGAAACAAACACTGGAGCATCTCCCATTTTGTTATTTAATTAATAGTGATATTACTCAGTTGGGCTCCTTATGACCAGGTATTTAATGTTACTAGGTCTTAACACACATGATCACATCAACACATCCAAACAATCTGCTATGGCTGTGAATGGCAGCTGCCAGGCTCCAACCTCCTCAGAGTGCATATGGGAAGATCCCAGGAGTAGACTTCCCAGTTTACTTCAATGGAGATTTATTTCCACTGCACGTGACAGTGTCTGCTCAATCCTAGTGAATGGGGTAGCTTTTGATGAAAACTGGTCCTTCACACTTGCAAGGAACCGTTGGATCAAGTCAAAGACATTCATATACTAGAAATAAGCTTCGATTTAGAAGAAGTTGTTTCCTCAGAAGAAAATCCAGCCACTCTGTAAGACGATTCTCTATAGGAGTCTTTCAGTAAAATTTCAGTGGGTCATTCAATTCTAAGCAGTCCATCCAACCTCTGAGGCCACTCTTTTCTTGGCAGGAGTTGACAGCTGGTGCACGATGATTTCACAGGGAAATACAATGTATTTTGCATTATAATATAGTAGGTTAATTCCTAAGTGAATATGCTTACGGATCCTTTTTGCAGGTTATTTACCTTATCTAGTAAGTACACATGTTAACATTTCCCAACACGATCTCTGGGAATAAGCCGTAATTCTGAGCCATGCTTAAGGAAGACGTTTCCTAATGAGGAAGGGGGAAAAGAAATTGGTTACATGAGAGTACATAAAAAGGTAAGCATAAATCACTGTAAGCCAAGGTAAGGCTTTGGGTAAATGACTTGCTGTTAATGGAAGTAAGCCATGAAGGCAACTTGTTCTAGTCTGATAGGTCACAGCAGATGCATGTGAAGAGTTCTCTGTAATGTGTTAAGACACCTTTGCTGCATTCTCTTGCTAACACCTAAGCAGAGATGACAAAATTAAAGATTCTAACAAGGTTGGTTACAGGAAGCTAAAGAGGTCTGGCTGAGATTTTTTCCAATGTCACTTGCATAGCTCATCTGCAGCATACAGTCATGGGGAAAAGAAAGAGAAAGTATACCCTCTTTGAATTCTGTGGTTTTACATATGAGGACATAATAACAATAATCTTAGCAGTAATAGTTACTTAATAATATTATTTACTTAAAATTAAGTAAATATTGCACCATGTCATGATGTAGTTTACAAAAATAAAGCCAAAATGGAAAAACCATGTGTGAAAAACTAAGCACACCCTTACTGCTTCCAGAGGAATTAAGAGGTTAAGTAGCAGATAGCTGCTGCTAATCAAACACCCTTGTTTAATTGATCATAAGCAATTATCATCAGAAAAAGAAAATAATCAGGGTGTTGCAATGACCCAGTCAAAGTTCAGCCCTCAACCCAACTGAAATGCTGTGGAGGGACCTTAAGAGAGCTATGCATTGACAAATGCCAGCAAACGTCAATGAACTGAAGCAATGTTATAAAGAAGAATGGGGCCCAGATTCCTCCACAACGATTTAAGCAATTGATAGTCATACAGAAAAAAATTACTTCAAGTAATTACTGCTAAAGGTGGTTCTACAAGCTATTGAATCATAAGGTATACTTAGTTTTTCACACACGGGTTCTCAATTTTGGCTTTATTTCTGTTAAACGAATCATGACACAGTGCAATATGTCATGTGCTGTTGTTCATCTGAGGTTGTATTTACCTAATTTTAAGACCTGCTAAGGAACAGGCGGTTCTTATTATGTCCTCATATGTAAAACTAAAGAATTCAAAGAGGGTGTACTTTCCTTTTCCTATGACTACATCCTTTTGAGAAAAGGACAGTACTGTATTAAAAAAACTTACATAGAAAAATATTCCATTTTTAAAAATCTAACTGCAAATAACTACTTACCAGCTGTCTGTGCAGGGTTTATCCCTATTCCATCTGTGGGGGGAAAGTAAGTAAGTCCATTAACGCATGGAAGTATTAACCAGCAACTCCTCTCAATAACCAAAAGGAAGATTGCTGTTGCATCACAGAAGCCTACAAACATTGGTAAGCATAGACTTCCTAGGCAGAATCAACTGGAATTTCTCCTGCATTTGTCCTATTAAAATAGATGGAACCTGGACTAGGATTAGTCTTGGACACCTGAAGAGATGCCTGAACATCTTGGCCACTGGCACCAGGCCTACCCCAAAGTTTCCTAAGTTATAGGGGGAAAACACTCACCATTTGTTATGATGGCACTTGTTGCTGCAGGCACTTTGAACTAGTTGAAAAGGAAATATAATACATTTTTAAAAAAATATAAACATGTAAAGAAATGCAATAGCAGGTGCAATTTGGATGTTGCCAGAACCTTACTTACTTCTTCTGCAGCAAACTTCAAGACAGCAGTAAATGGTGTACTTTCAGGCACACTCAGTCTACAGAAAACCATAAGTAAGATTTCCTAATTAGTTCCCCAACTAATAAGAAAGAAGCATTCCAGCAGCTACAAATCTCTAGTTAGCAGGTGATTTTCACAATACATTCCCCTAAGGTCTAAAAGCCGGGAGGAAGAAAGGTTGCTACTTGCTCTTCCTGCATGTCCCACTTTTTCACTATATTTAAGATAAGGGCAGTTCCACTCAAAACCTAATTCCCCAAACTGCTTGGACAACTGATTGCCTGCAAAGTCAGGTGTACATACGGTTACCCCTAAACTCGGGTCCTTTTCGGCCAGACCACACTTTCGCCAGCTGAGCCGTCCTGGAGCGCCCTCTAGCGGTTCCCGGCAGAGGCTGAAAAAACTGTAGCGTCGCAGAGAAAAGCCCCGCCCTTCCGCCCGCTAGAGAATGATGTGTCTCAGCAGCCCGCGCATGCGCACCCAGGAAAGCGAGGGGACTCACACTTTGTAAGGCAGCCGCGGGTCTGAGGTGAGCGTGACCTTAAAGGTGACCTTGGCCCTGCGAGGGGAGAAGGGAGACAGAGCGCGGTTAGCGGCGGGCGGGCGGACAGCGCAGACCGAGGCGGCGCAAGAAGGCGACCAGCGGACTCACATCTTCTCCTCCTCTCAGGCAGCTCCTGACGCTCCTGCTTCCTGAACCGTGCCTGCGTCACTTCCGGACGCGCCTCTCTTTGACCTCCCACAGAGATAAGAAAGGAGAGACGCGAAGCTCATTGGAGCGAAGAGGCCGCTTCTGACTTCTCTATTTGGCGCAACCGAATGACGTCAGGGCTCCTGGGAATCGGCGTCCAAAGCGCCTGGGAGGCCCCAGTTTGCTCTGAATCCGCCTAGCTGCCCCGCCGGCCGCCCGAGCCGGCTTCCTCGGAGCGCCGCCGGGAGGGAGCCGGGCCTGCGAGTCCCCCCGGGGCGGGAGCGGCCTGGTCCCCGCCATGAGCAAGAGGAAGGCGCCGCAGGAGAACCCCAACGAGGGCATCACCGACTTCCTGAGCGGTGCGTGGCCGGGCGGGGGCGGCGGGCCCTTCTCGGGGGAAGGAGGCCTGCAGGGGACCCATAAGTGAGGGGGGGGCCAGGGCAGGGGGCGGCGTCCCGATCCTGCTCTTTCAGTTGTGCATTGAAAGTACTTCAGTTGAACAAAATGAAAAGTACATGAAAAGTATAATATATCGCCATGTATGCAAAACTACAATTTCATATACGCTTGTCTAGTATATAGGTGTATGTGTTAAGGTAAAGGTAAAGGACCATTAAGTCCAGTCGTGGCCGACTCTGGGGTTGCGGCACTCATCTCGCTCTATAGGCCGAGGGAGCCGGCGTTTGTCCGCAGACAGCTTCCGGGTCATGTGGCCAGCATGACTAAGCCGCTTCTGGCGAACCAGAGCAGCGCATGGAAACGCCGTTTACCTTCCCGCTGCAGCGGTCCCTATTTATCTACTTGCACTTTGATGTGCTTTTGAACTGCTAGGTTGGCAGGAGCTGGGACCAAGGAACGGGAGCTCACCCCGTTGCGGGGATTCGAACCGCCAACCTTCTGATCAGCAAGTCCTAGGCTCTGTGGTTTAACCCACAGCACCACCCGCGTCCCAGGTGTATGTGTTACATATTATCTAAAATACATATATGGTTATAAGTACTTTAGTGTGGTATAGAAATGTTGTTATTATTATTCATTATTATTATTATTTGCAGAATATTGATAGGTATCTTTTCAAAATGAGCAGCAGGGGCATCAAGTGATGCCAAGCATAATCCTTGTTGCACTTTCCACTGCATTTCATAAGAAAAAAAAATTGGTTTGCTGCAAACAAATTTTTATTCTGAAAGTTTCAGAACCACTGCTCTGGGCTTTTGGAAGCTGCAGGGCAGGTCTGCTTTCACCTGGCAAGTCCCACTTCCTCTCCTGGCTAAGTAGTTATTAAAGGCAAGTCATCAAGACAAACCAGCAGAAAAGGCAGAAGAAATGGCAGAAGCAAGGACAGAACAGGCTGCATGGGGGGGCCTTCATGTAGGAAGTGGGTGCAAGGTGCTGAATTATTTCACTTATTTTACTATTAGCACTGTTACTATTTATTAAATTGTACACTGTTCTTAATCTGAAGATCACAGGGTAATTCACAACATAAAGATATAAAATTAGAATACATAATAAAATGAAAACAAGAATAAAAACAAACCATTAACACATGCCCACATGGGGAACAGGTTCACAGCTGCCTTCATTGTGAGACCTGTACCCTGGAGACCACTTTCACCAACCTGATGCCTTCCAGATGTTTTGGACTGCAACTCCCATCAGCCCTGGCCAGCTGGGTTTACAGTGATATCTGTATGTAATAAAAGCATGTGAAAATTTAGAATCTGAGACCATTAACAAACTACAGTTGTACCTTGGAAGTCGAACGGAATCCATTCCGGAAGTCCATTTGATTTCCAAAATCTTCGAAAACCAAACTGCGGCCTCTGATTGGCTGCAGGAAACTCCTGCAGCCAATCAGAAGCCCCGGAAGCCCCGTCCGACGTTCAGGTTCCAAAAGAACGTTCGCAAACTGGAACAATCACTTCTGGGTTTGCAGCATTCAGGAGCCAAAACATCCGAGTTCCAGGGCGTTTGGGATCCAAGGTACGACTATTATGAAAATATATATTTTCTAAATTGCCTGCAGCTTAGAAAAGTTTTCAACAGGCATTCAAAGGTTGACGAATCTCCCAATTTATGCGATTTTGTTCACAATTAACTAGAATATTTTTTTCAGAACTGGCCAACTATGAGAGGAATGTGAACAGGGCCATCCACAAGTACAATGCTTACAGGTAAGATCTCTGCTATCATCTGATCTGCCTTGGCTTGGAAACCCACCGATTATTTGGCAAAAGCAGTTTTACAGAGGGCTTCGAAATAAGGACATTTCATAGCATGTGGGCTTGGTTTCTTGCAATGGTGGTACTTTGACACCCCATCCCAGATTTTGACTCTGTTTCACAGCAAATCTCCATCAGCCCCCCCCCCCCACTTCAAAATATGGCTGAGTCTCCAGGAAGTAAGTGCAAAACAAAGACAGCATCTTAGGAGAACTTGGTCTCACCTCTTGAGATAAAGTAAAGGAACATCTTTACTTTTGCAAAATACAAATCCTGTGCAGAAGTGGAAATATAATGTTCTTTATTTCAATATTAGGTGTGCTTTTTAAAGTGAGAATTGAGTGGATGGAGTGACGGGGTGTTAGGAGTCTGTTGAATGATTGTCTTTGGTGGGTTGTGGGTTTAGTTTTATGTAGTATGAATGGTTTTGGTAATTATGTGGGGGTTTTATAACAATAATGATATACTGTAATTAAAATGTTATTTGCATTACGGTATATTTGGATGTTTTGTATATGATTTATTTATCTACATTTTAAGAGATATTTAATTCTGTTACTAACAATGTGGAATCAGTAGTAGTAGCAGCAGCAGTAATAGTTGTTGGGTTTGCATGTCTAATTTATATCATATTTTTATACTCAGTCCTTTTTGTTGGGATTTGTAAACTGCTTAGAGACTTCTGTTGGAATATGAAGTGGCCTATAAAGAAAAAAATAATCTGTTTGCCAGCAGACCATGACACTTGGCCCAATAGAAATCTTTACACGATTGCACTGGAGCTGAGTAGGGAGATCTGCAAAGTGAGTGGCCTGGATGTATACAGTTACTGTCTGACAGCTCTTTGAGGAGAGAGATCCTATATTTGAACTTCTGTCTTCTGCTTCTTCTCTATGATTGACTGTAATTTCTGGAAGGGTGTTGCTTTTCAGTGGAACTGCAATGGGGATCTCATGCTGTGTGCCAATTTTGGGGGGCCCAAAATATGACTGTAGATTTTTCATTGCTGCATACAGGAAGGCAGCCTCTGTGATATCGAAATATCCAAGCAAGATCAAAAGTGGAGCTGAAGCAAAGAAGCTGGTAAGTCCCTTAAGAACAGGCAGGTCCCCATTGCTTTTCTGAATAATTCAGAATCGATAAAATTCATCTTCAGATTCTGTATATGTTTACAAATTTTACCACAAATATATTCAAATTTATGGCTTGTAATCTGCCAAAGTAAAAATAAAAACACAATGAGAAAAAAGAATGGGGATTTGTGCTGTGTCTTAGCTTATTATTTTATTATAACAATTAATATGCAAAATTGGTTGTGGTTTAGGTGTTGATGCTAACTTCCTATTTACTTGGAACATTGTTTAAACATTTGCTTGATTGAAATAAACTGTTGTAAAGGTAAAGGGACTCCTGACCATTAGGTCCAGTCATGACCGACTCTGGGGTTGCGGCACTCATCTCGCTTTATTGGCCAAGGGAGCCGGCGTACAGCTTCCGGGTCATGTGGCCAGCAAGACTAAGCCGCTTCTGGTGAACCAGAGCAGCGCATGGAAACACTGTTTACCTTCCTGCCAGAGCAGTACCTATTTATCTACTTGCACTTTGACGTGCTTTCGAACTGCTAGGTTGGCAGGAGAAACTGTTGTAGAATTGTCATTTATTGGATTGCTGTATTGTGTTTTGAAGCTTATCGGGAGCAGACCATAGTAGTAATGCTGTTTTGATGTACATTACTGTTCCTGTATTGCTGCTCTTGTGTTGTGAGCTGCTTTGGGCATGTTCATGTGTGAAAGTAGCACGTTTTAAAGGAGCTGTGCGACTTAAAAACAAAACCAGTGCTCTTGCCCTGCTTCTGATCATCTCAATGGGGCCAGCACAGAAGAACCACCTGGTGGATTCTGCACTTTGATTGGCTTTGCTGACCGGGGGACAATGGGAATGCAAGTCCCAGGCAGGTGGAGGACTCACCCTCCATGTTGTTATGGCGAATGTTTTATTCTTTACAACATTGTTTTATGTGCTTCACTCTCTTGCTCGCTGTTGTAAGTTAAGTTCCTGTGTAGCTCTCCCATTTTTTCATTTTTCTTTTCTTTTTTAAAGGATGGAGTTGGAGCTAAAATTGCAGAAAAGATTGATGAGTTTTTATCTACTGGAAAACTACGAAAGCTGGAAAAGGTAACTAATTGGATTTTTATAACACTGTTTTGTGCAAGTGGTATAATATTTCACTCTGAAAGTACGTATATGCAAAGTACGAGTATACATATGCAACTTAGTTGGCCTTCTATATTGTTTCTAAATTTCCTACCCACAACATTTATACATCACTTGAATGTAATAAAACCACAAAGAGGTTTACTAAAAGAGTGTGGAGTGTCATTTTGGTTTTTTTAAATGGGGTGAATAGTTTGCCTAATACTTGCGCACACCACCTTGAAATCAGGCAGTTAAGAAACATTTAATGAATAAAAATAAACTTCCTGTGGGTGGTGCCCCATGCCTGCATGTGAAGCTGCCTTGCATACCAGGTGAGGCTGGCTGGCAGACACTCCCTGCCCTACCTGGAGATACCCAGGACAGAACCTGATTCATTCTGCACACAGAGCATCTGCTCTACTGCTGAAACTACTTGGTCAGATCTGTCCCCATGCTGCACCTTAATGAGCCCCAAACTCTGTCAAGAACAGCTGCCTCTCCTGGTATGCCCCACAGAAGACCCTAAGGTCCACAAATGACAACACTTTGGAGGTCCCAGGTCACTAGGTGGTTAGATTGGTCTCAACTAGGGCCAGGGCCTTTTCAGTACTGGCCCCGACTTGGTGGAATGCTCTGTCAAAATGGACT